GTTACCTTTGCTGTGCAGAAACTTTTGAAGTTTAATTAGGTCCCACTTGCTAATTTTTTGCTTTTGTTCCCTTTGCGTTAGGGGACAGATCCAAAAAATATTGCCATGATTAATGTCAAAGAGTGATCCACCTTTATTTCCTTTAGGAATTTTATGATTTCTGGTCTTACATTTAGGACTTTAATCCATTTACAGTTTATTTTTGTACATGATGTTAGAGAGTGCCCTAATTTCAGTCTTTTACAGGTAGCTGTCCAGGTTTCCCAGCACCATGTATTGAAGAGACTATCTTTTCTCCATTGTATATTTGGCCTCCTTTGTGATAGATTAATTGATCCTATGTGTGGGAGTTTATTTCGTCTCTCTGTCCTGTTCCATTGATCTATGTGTCTGTTTCTGTGCCAGTACCACACTGTTTTGATTACTGTAGCTTTGTAGTACAGTCAGGTCAGGGAGGGTGATACTTTCAGCCCTGTTCTTTCCCAAGATTGTCTTGGCTATTCAGAGTGTTTTGTGTTTCCATACAAATTTTATACTTCAGCTTTCTTTGATTAGCATTAGTAGCGTAGTGTATCTTTCTCCATTCACTTAATCTGTATGTCTTTAAACTAGGTTTCTTATAGTTGAGTTTTCTTTTTTGATCCCCTCTGACAATCTTAGTCTTTTAGTTGGTGTATTTAGACCATTACTAGTTAAAGTGATTATTGATTTAGTTGGATTAATATCTGCCATACTGGTTATTGTTTTCTATTCATTGCCCTTGGTTTTTGTTCCTATTTTGTCTTCTGACTTTTTGCCATTTGTAGCTTTAATTAAGCATTTTTTATGATTCCATTTTCTTTCTTAGCATATTAGTTATACTTCTTTTTTCACTGTTTTAAACGGTTGCCTTGAATTTTGCAATATACATTTACAACCAGTCCAAGTCCACTTTCAAATAACACTGTACCACTTCACAGGTAGTGCTAGTCTCTTACAATAATGACGTGTTCATGATTCCTCCCTCCTGTCCCTTGTATCACTGTTGTCATTTGTTTGACTTATGTGCAAGCATGCATGAGTATAAGTAAATACATTGTCACTGTTATTTTGAACAAACTGTTGTCTGCTACATCTATTTAAAAAAAGAAAAAGTTTTAAAGTTTTAATTCACCTTCAATTATTCCTTCTCTAATGTGTACATCCTCAGGCTTAAGATTCTTTCCACAGATGAGTCCAGTCTGCTAATAAGCCCGTCAAAGGCATTCTTCATTTCTGTTAGTATTTTTGGTCTCTAGCATTTTTTTCTTGATTCTTTCTTAGAATTTCCATGTCTTGCTTATTTTACCCATCTGTTCTTGCATATTGTCTGCTTTTTTATTAGAGCCCTTAGCATATTAATCATAGTTGTATTAAATTTCTAGTGTGGTAATTCCAACATCCCTGCCATATCTGACTCTGGTTCTTTTTTTTTTTAACATTTTTTTTGGTTTATAATCATTTTACAATGTTGTGACAAATTCCAGTGTAGAGCACAATTTTTCAGCTATACATGAACATATATATATTCATTGTTACATTTTTTTCTCTGTGAGCTACCCTAAGATCTTGTGTATATTTCCCTGTGCTTTACAGTATAATCTTGTTAATCTATTCTACAATTTTGAAATCCTGTCTATCTCTTCCCACCCTCCGCCCCCTTGGCAACCACAAGTTTGTATTCTATGTCTGTGAGTCTATTTCTGTTTTGTATTTATGCTTTGTTTTTTTGTTTTTGTTTTTTAGATTCCACATATGAGTGATCTCATATGGTATTTTTCTTTCTCTTTCTGGCTTACTTCACTTAGAATAACATTCTCCAGGAGCATCCATGTTGCTGCAAATGGCATTACGTTGTCAGTTTTTATGGCTGAATAGTATTCCACTGTATAAATATACCACATCTTCTTTATCCAGTCATCTGTTGATGGACATTTAGGCTGTTTCCATGTCTTGGCTATTGTAAATAGTGCAGCTATGAACACTGGGGTGCAGGTGTCATCCTGAAGTAGGGTTCCTTCTGGATATAAGCCCAGGAGCAGGATTCCTGGGTCATACAGTAAGTCTGACTGGTTCTGATTCTTGCCCTATCTCTTCAGACTATCCTGTTTTTTTGTTTGTTTGTTTTTTGGTTTTTTTTTTTGCTTTTCAGTCTGCCTTTTTTTCTTTAAAGCCAGACATGATACACTGGGTGAAAGGAACTCTGGTAGGTAGGCCTTAGTGACATGGTGGTAAGGTGTAGAGGGTGGGGAAGCTCCTTGTGGTGCTCTGATTAGTTCTCTGTCTTCACAAGCCTGAGCCCTGGGCTGGGACCTCTAGTCCTCCACCTCTACTACCTTAGGAAGGACAGGATGGCTGGAGGAGGTAGGTAGATTTGGGTATTTCCCTTACCCCAAGGTGGTTATTTTCTGATGAAACCCCTATAGTAAGTTTTAGGCTCTGGTTAGTTTCTCCTGAGGGTGAGCCTTGTAAAGAACAGAATAATACTCTGGCACATTTCAAAGTGGTTAACTTTCCCCTCCCCTAACCGGAAGCCCCAAGGGGATCTTTATGCTCTTTATTGTGAGAACCTGGTAGAGTTGCAGTAGATAAAATTCACTCAAAGTATTACAGGGCCCCTGAAATTGTAAACTTACTTTTCCACACTGAGCCTCCAGCAGTCAGTCAATTATAGTTGAGATTTTCCTGCTCCACTGCTGGTTCCCATGGAGACTCCTGCTCACATCAGTTGTGATTCACCGTCTTCCCCCACCGTCTGTCTCTCTAAATGTAGGGGAAGTGGTTTGCTGTGACCTCATTATTATGTCAGATCTAAGAAGAGGTGGTAATTTTCAGTTTGATTAGCTTTCTCCTTGGTGTTAAGATGAAGTGGTGACTTCCAGCCTCCTTACCTGCTGGAATAGACACTGGACGTTAAATTGAGTTTTAATATGTAAAATTGGTAAATATAAGATTATATAGCATTTATTTCTTCTTGGTGATTCTAATCGCTTTTCTTTTTTCGACCTATGTTGTCTATTTTTATTGGCTCCTTAAGTTGTTCCAGATTCTCAATTTGGTATCTTGTATCTGTATGACTTGAACCTTTTAAAATGTATTGAGACTTGTATTATGACCCAGAATATGGTCCCTTGGAAGAGGTTCTGTGTGTACTTGAGAAGACTGTGTATTGTGCTGTTGTTGCATAGAACGTTCTGTAAATGTCAGTTAGGTCACGTTGCTAGTGTGGTGCGGCTCTTCGCTTTGTTGGTTTCTATTTTTTGGGTAGCTAGTCTATCAACGACTAAAAGACAGGTGTTGAGATTTCCCACTGTACAATTGTTTTATTTCAGTTCTATCAGTTTTTACTCCATATATTTTGAAGCTGTTACTTAGGTACACAGAAGTTTAGGATTTTTTGTTCTCTTGATGAATTGATCTGTGTCATTATTAAATGACCCTTTTATCTCAGTTAATATTCTTTGATCTGAAGTCTTCTTTGTCTGATACTAATGTAGCCACCCCAGATTTCTTGAGTAATGTTAGCATTGTATATATTGTTCTGTCCTTTTACTTTTTTTTAAAGGCATTTCTAAAAAATTTCTTTCTCTTTTTTTTTAATGGAGGTACTGGGGATTGAACCCAGCATGTCCTTCATGCACTCTGAATGATACCCACCACTGAGTGATATCCTCCCCCTCCATCCTTTTACTTTTAACCTTTTTGTCTCTTTATAGTTCAGGGAGGTTTCTTGTGGGCAGCACATAAGCTGGGTCTTGCGTTTTTTATCCAATCTGTTAATCTCTGTAATTTATATTTAATGTAATCTTTTGATGTGGTTGGGTTTAAAAGTACCATTTTACTATTAGTTTTCTATTTGAATCATCTATTCTTTGTTCCCTTTGCTGATTTTTCCGACTTCTTTTGGATTAAGTGCCTTTTGTGCTTCTACTTTACATCATTTGTTGGCTTATTAGCGAAACCTTTTTATATTGTTCTTTTAGTGGTTGCCTTAGGGTTTGTAGTATACATGTTAACCCAGTATATTCTGCCTTTGAGTACTCCCGGGGCACTTCCTGGGGAGTATAAGAGCTTTACACCATGTACCTCCATCTCCTCTCTCCCTGCCCACCTTTGTTCTGCTGTTGCCACGTGTTTTAATTCTGCATGTAATAAATCCCACAATACGTTACCATTTTTGATGAGTCAGTTCTCTCTCTCTTTCCCCCTCTCCCTCCCCAGTCCCTTTTTGAAACAAGAGAGAAGTTTAATTCCCCAGCGTGTCCTACAAGCACAGGAAGGTCCTTGGGGTCCGGCTCTTTCTGTCTTGTTGACCCTGCATCCTTCGGGTTTTGCTGCTACACTCGTGTCCACGATGATCTATCACTTTGTCTCCAGTCCAGCCAGTTGGAAGGAAGAGGAAAGGGAGACAAGACCCAGAGGTTACACACAGTCCTTCTGCTCTCATTTCTTTGACCAGAGCTTTCTCATGTGGCCATGCCAGTGGGGAGGAAGGTCTGGGAGACATCCTTCTTTTGGACTGCTGCGTGCCCAGCTAAAAATCAGGGCTTTTATTATCTTAGAGTAGGAGTCAGTACACTGCAGCCTAAGGGCTTAATCTGGCCTGTCACCTGTTTCTGTACAATCCATAGGCTAAAAATGGTTTGTCCATTTCTCAATGGTCTAAATCTAAAGAATGAGAATAGTTTGTGACATTTGAAAATTACATGGAGTTTCAGATTTCAGTGTCCACAAATAAAGTCTTACTGAGCACACCAGTGCCGATTCATCTACGTGCTGTCTGTGGCTGTGCCCGTGCTGCAGTGGCACAGTTGAGTAGTTCAGCAGAGAGCATCCTGCCCACGAAGCCTGCAGTGAGTGCTTCCTGTCTGACCCTTTATGGAAGTAGCGTCCTGGCCCCTGCAGTATAGAGGGTGGACTGAGTCACCCTGGGAACTGCCAGGACTCGCTCTCCTTGCTGCTCTGTCCTCTCTTGTACTCAGGCCACCTTGGCCTTTTCGGGCTGTCATGTCCGAGTCCTTGATTCGGGAAGACTGCCAGGCTCCATCTGGGCCCCCGTCCCTGCATCCTGGAAGCTCTGTCTACACAGTAAGCCCGGACAATCATAGTACTCATCTCATTTTCCCCACTCTTAGGGACCACTGTCCTGCACTGTGTGATACCTAGGATCTGAAAAGCACTGTTTTATATATTTCGTCTGGTTTCATACTTGTTTCAATTTGAAAGGGTTAAGTTCAGTCCCTGTGACTTTGTCTTGGCTGGAAGCAGCAGTATCTGTGCTACCGTATCTCTAAAATTGTCCCTTTTTCTCAGTACATCTTTCTTCTGTCAGGTGCAGACAGCTGGTTTATAACCTGCACGATCTGACCTGTCTCGTCAGTGCAGGAAGCAGCAGTCGGCAGTGTGCAGACACTTCCTCCAGCAGGCAAGCTCTTCTTCTGGAGCTCAGACCAGTCCCATCCCAGCCTTCCCCCAGCCCTTCCTCCTAAGTGCTTCTCCTTTGAATTAATATTGACTTGCACCGCATGTGCTAATTGTTCTCCTCTAGAGTGGGACGGGCACAGTTCAGCCCCCGTTGGAGTTTTTGCTCCATTTGTTTAAATGCCACCTTTGCCTTTGCGGTGTTAAGAACATAAACATTTTTCCCTACCCTTATTTTATTCATTTCTTCAAATGTTATGGGTGACTTGATTCGTGTACCGAATCTCTCTGGTACACGATGTTGTCCTGTCTCCCTCTTAGCGCTTGTTCCCGTGTAACTCTCCACTGCTCTCTGGGGTTGCAGCCTGTGCGCTGAGTCCCGTGCCATCATCTTTCTCGGTTTACTTGTTCAGCTAGAGCACAGCTTCAGTTTACTTCTTAAGGAGAAGGTGTGTTGGTTTGTGTATGCCTGAGATGCCTCTCGAGTGTTCTGCCCTGTTATGTTCTTGGTGTGTTAGCAAAGATTGACTTCTGGATTGAAAATCATTTTCCTGATTGCTTATGAGGTTTCGCCTGTTTTCATGTGCTTATTAGCAGTTTGTGTTTTTTCTTTTGTAAGATTCCTACTAGTCTATATTTTGCCATTTTTAAAAATTGTTTTTTGTTATTAGAAGTTTTGAGAGTTTTTAAAAATATGTTCTGGATACAAGCCATTTGTCAGGTGTATGTATCATGAGTAAATTTTCTCCCAGTCTGTGTGGCTTGCCTTTCGTTTTCTTACTGGTATATTTGTAAGGGCAAAAGTTTCTGAGTTTGATTAAATTCGATTCATCAACTTTTTTGTTAAGATTTTGTGTCCAGTCTAGGAAATCTCTGTTATCCTTGTGTTTTGTACGTTTGGTTTTTACATTTAGTTCCATGATCCATTTACGTTAATGATGTGAGGTAATATCCAGCTTTATTATTTTTTTCCATGTGAGTGTGCTGTTGTTCCACTGTGTTATTTTGCATTTGTGGTGATCCATCTCTTGGGTAGATTTCCTGGGAGAAGGATTTCTGGGTCAAATGATGATGTTGAAATATGTTGCCAGGTACCTGTCCATAGGAGCCATATCATCCTGGAGTCCCACCAGGAATCTAAGACACTGTGCCTGTTTGCCCACAGCCTCACCAGCAGAGAGTGTTTCAAGTTCTTGGATTTTCTTGTTTGCAAGTGAGAAATAGTATCTTAGGGTAGTTTCCATTTCTCTTACTCTTAAGTGCCACCTATGATTTTGTTTTTTTAGCAAATAAGGTACGTTTATTGTGATTATGTATTTGGACTTATTTTTATCATCTCATTTTGTCTTTCAGTTCACCATGATTTTTCTTGGGCCCTTTTTCGCTGTCCTCTTGAATTGAGCATTTTTCCCTTGTTCTCCTGGATGCTTTTATATATCACATTTCATTCCTCTTAGTCTTATTTTTTTATATGCTTAGACTTTCTAACAAAGTTTGAAGGTAATCAATATTTATCCTTCTTACGTCAGGAACCTTACCTTTTCTTTTCTAAACCTTCCCTTCCATTTCTATTCTCACTGTTGTCTAGAATTTTAGTTTTAACTTGTTGTACATAAATATTTTGCATTCAGTTCTTAAGTTTTTTGGAACTGAGCTACTTGGTTTGAATTCTAGATTTGCTCTTTATTAGCCGAATAAACATAGGTAAGTTATTTGACTTCTCTGTGCCTCATTTTCCTCATCTGAAAAAGGAAGAAATAATTATACCACACAGGAACCATAGAGGAGTCAATAAAATAATTCTGGTACCTGTCACATAGAATTCAATTAGTTAATTCCAAATGCTTTGGAAGAGTTCTTGATACATAATAAGCACTAAGAAAGTGTTGGTTAATTAGGATTATTATTGCACTACTGGTTTATTTTTCTTTTTAAGTACATATTTTAGTAGTTCTTTCACTGCGGGGTAAGGGGTAGTGTATGTTAAAATATGGTGCTATTTAAACTAGATACAGTATTCTAGGTTCTTAGTTGTTTTCCTTCAACAGTGAAGATGGTACTTCATTTTCTTCTTGTCAGTCAATCTGTTGGTTATTCTTTTGTTAAGTAATTGATGTGTTCTGTTGATTGACTTTTTAGATGTTCTCTTTATTCTTGATATTCTGCCATTTCCTTACAGTGTGTCTAAGAGTGAGTGGTTCAAAATTTATTCTGTTAACACTTGGGAGTTTTTCAATTACAGAATTCAGGTCTAACTGGAGTTTCTGAAAAGTATTAGATCTTAATGCTTTCAGAGATTATTTTTTCCTCCCTCCTCCCGAATCTGTTAGACATAGCTAAGTCGTTTCGTTACCTATCACCCATTTTTTTTTTTAGTTTCTTTTTTGCATTTTCTTTTTATTTCTCTAAGTTGACTTCTGAGAGGTTTTCTTTACTTAACTCGTTAAATTGCCATTTTCCTCTTTGCTTCTAGCCCAGTACTACCCCGTCTTTGGAGTTTTCAATTTGATGGTGGCTGTTTCTTACTGCTTAGTGTTCTCATTGGTTCTTTTTATTTATGTCTGCCTTTCTTTTCATATTTACCTGTTTTGTTCCATGAATACCATTCCTTCTTTATCTCGGATATTTTAAATGGTTTTATTTTAGACTTCTTTTCAGACTCCTGTTTTTATCTCCATATCCACAAATGTGAATCTCCACCCCTTCACAAACCTTTGTGGGTTGTTTTTTTTTTTTAAACATTTACAACTGCATTGAACTACTGTGAAATACTGTTTGAAAGCTCGTGTTGTATGGACATTTTCCGTTGGTGAATTTCATCTACTGCCTGCACTCCTGGCTCCAGATGAGGGTTTGTACTTTTGGCTGTAAGGTCCTCCCCTGAAGAATGACTTAATTCCAGACCCCAGGTCACACAGGTGCAAATTACTTAGGCTCCAAATTACTGTAAAGAAGGATTAGACCAGTTTACAATATCATCATACATTTGCAGCTTCAGCTATTTATTTCAGTGATTTAATAGGTGAAAAATATTCCCCGTCATTTCAATTTGTGTTTCTCTAATTGAGACTTACAGGGAGCACTTTTCCAGGATTGCCTATGTTGTTCTCTAATAAATGATAGCTGGACTGAGCTTCTTTTGTTGTTCTTTTCTTGGAAGTCATACCTCAATTTTTATCCAAGCGTAACTACCCAGCTTGATTATCCATGTTATTCACTAAAAAAACTTCTGTCACTCTTCAAAAGTCAGATTTAAGCCTGTAGGATAGTCATGTCTGGCAGTTGATGCTGGCTTTGTCTGGAACTTCAGGTGGGGCTGTCATCGGAAACACCTGTGCCTTTCCCTGTGGTTGCCTGGGCTTCCTCACAGCGTGCTGGCTGGGTTTCAGGAGTGAGCATCAGAGAGAGCAGGTCATAAATATATGATGTTTTTGCAGTCTAGCTTTAGAAGTCACAGAGCACCACTTCCGTGTTTATAACTCCATCCAGGCTTCTGAGAACGGAATATGAGCCGATCTCTCAGTGGGAGACGTGTGAAAGTCACATTGTAAGAAGAGCATGGGTGTTGGAAAGTAGAGTCTGCCAAGCTGGGAATTATGTTTAATTCTTACTAAGCCAGTAAAGGAATTTTTTTCAACTTTTTTAAATAATAAGGGTTGAAATAAGATTTTAAAATTTAATCACCTCAAGTAAAGTTTAATACAAAGCCCTATTCCATAATTTTATGTATTAAGATTTTATGGTGAATTGGGAGTTCGAGATTAAAAAAAAATTTTATGGTACTACTTTTTTCAATATAATCCTTTTTGTCCTATTTTCTAGTTAATAATGTTTTCTAAGATAGTTTTTATTACTTTTTTTATTTTGCAGGTAAAACTATAAAATGTAATGCGGATTCACTGAGTTCACCTAAAAAAACACCTGAAAAGAACCAGCAGTGCATCTCTTTAAAAGATGTAAATAAGGTTGTATTTGTAAATGTTCATTAAATACGAAGTTCATGTAATGTTCATTTTAGGAATATTCTCCTTTAAAATCTGCTAGGAACCATATGGCTACGATGATTTCATTCACAAAAATATAAGTTTGCACATTTACTGTCTTTCCGAAGAACAGGGTAACTCCAGCTCCCCTCTTGTCAAGACTTTCTTCTTGGCTTGCTGGCCTCTCCACACAGTTGGGTATATATTCGCATTTTAACAAGGGTGTAAAAATCAGAGATTATGGGACACTCTAATAGTTCAAGTTTAACCTGTTCTCCAGTCCCTTTGACAAGACAGGTAAAAGTAATTAGAGGACGTTTTAAATACTGGTTATCTGAAATGCTGGCTGCCTGTTATTTGGACAGACACAACCCGGTGGTTACAGCAGTGGCATAATCACCCAGTTCTTTGTCTCTCTGTATCCATGTTGCCGGAACATTATCTGGGATGGTTGTCTGTGAGACTAACTCTAATGGAATTTTGATTCCTAAGAATATGTATCTTGCTAGCATGCATATTCTTTCTGCAATTTTTTTTTTACAGTATGTGAAATCTTCAGTGTACTGGCCGTCAAAAAGAGGCATAACCATATATGCTGATCCAGATATACCAGCAGCAAGGTATGATGTGAAAAGTCAGCGTAATACATTGTCTTACAGCGTGTTCTGTAAGATTGATGACAGGAAAACACTCAGTTTCAAAAAAAGAGTGGCCCTGGGAGTTTTGATTTAACATATATTAATTTAAAAGAAAAATATTGTGACAACTGGCTAAGTAGCACAGGTTGACCAAAAGCTGGTAGTGGTTCTAGAGTCTTCCGGTGATGTTGTCGGACAGAGCTGTTTCTGTAAGGTCCCATGAAGTTGTCTTGATGTAAAGAATGGGTAAATGTGGGTCAGCTGGCAGTACAAGTTGGTAAAAAGCAAAGAATCATTTGTTACATGCTTGAAGATGAGCATCAAAGACTTTGACTATAACCGTCCTCATCAAGACATGTCAGTGATATTAATGAAATCACAGAAAGGGTGTACTATTTCACACTTCACGTGCAATGTTAAGACCTTAAAATTAGGATGCTTCTGTTTTTCCCCTCCAGGACCTTATGCTAGTGTTGTCATACATTTTATTTATACATTTGTTATAAATGCGAGACTCTATTATCAGTTGTATTTAAACAGTTGGCTTTCTTTTAGAGGGGCTTAAATAAATAACAGGAAAAGATACCTTATATTTTTACCTATGTAGTTACCATCGATGCTTTCACTTTCTATGTAGATCCACATTTCCATCTGGTATCATTTGCCTTCTACCTGCAGGACTTCATTTACTGTTTCTTGTATGTGGGTCTGCTGGTGATTAATTCTTTCAGCTTTTGTATGTCTGAAAAATTATTTTTAAAAAAAAACTTTGCTAGGTATGGAATTCTAGGTTGAAAGTTTTTTTCCCCTGTGTTTTAAAGATGTCAGTCCACCGTTGCCTGCTCCTGTTGCTCCCAGTGCCACATCTGTCATTTGTCTTTTTGCTTTGTTCCTCTGTTTGCAGCATGGCTTTTTCTTCTGCTTTCAGGAATTTCTCTTTATTGCTGGTTTGAGCAACATAAATATCATATGCCTTGCTGTAGGTTCTCTCATGTATCTTATGCTTGGGTTTCTTTGGGGTTCTTCATTTGTAGGTTTCTGTCTTTCATCACATTTGGTACGTGACATTTAGCTGTCTTTCTGCAAATATTTTTTCTGCATCCCTCTCTTTCTCCTTTTCTTTTGAGACTCCGATGAGACAAATGTCCCTAAGGTTCTGTTCACTTTTTCACCTCTTTTTTTCTTGCTATTCTGCAGATCAATAATTCTAATTTATCTTTAATCTGTCTCTTCTGTCTCTGTTCTGCTGTTGAGCCCATCTAGTGAATTTCTTATTTATTTTTCAGTTCTGAAATTTTTATGTTTTTTTTTAGTGTGACCATTTTTTTTTCTCTGTGATTTATCATAACATTTTGTGTATATGTCCCTGTGCTATACAGTGTAATCTTGTTTATCTATTCTACAATTTTGAAGTCCCAGTCTATCCCTTCCTTTTATGTGTTTTTTTGATATTCTTTGTTGAGAGCTTTCATTGCTCCATTCAGGAGTGCTCACCTTCCCTTGTCTTGCCGAGCATGGTTATAACACCTACTTCACGGTGTTTGATAATCCCCACTTCACAGCCATCTCGGGGTTGGCATCTGTCCATTGCCTTTTCCCTCTACAGTCCATCTAGTTTTCCTGGTTGTTTGTATGAACAAGTACTTCTGGATTGTATTCTGAATATTTTGAATATTATGGCGTGAGACTCTTGTTTCTGTTAGAATCCTCTGGAGAACGCTGCTTCTGTTGTTTTTGCTGTTTGTTTTAGCAGGAGGTCATCACCCCCTGAAGGTTCAGACCTCAAGTTCGGTCTCCCCTGCTGTGGGTGGTGATGGCAGTGCTGTTTCCCCGTCTTCGGTACGCTGCTTCAGGTCTGTCCTGAGCGTGCTCGACTTGGGTTGAGCCAGGGGTTTAGGGGTTATGTTGGGTCATAAACAGAAATAGAAGGTCCCCCTCCCCTCCAGCTGTTTTTTTCCCCCTTGATATTCCCCACATTCACCATTTTCTAGATGCTCCCTCTCCTTGTTCCTCTGATCAGATAGATGGTTTCCTGTGGAGAAGCTGCCATGCAGTTCTGTGTGATTGGGGCTGCCTGTGGAGCAAAACAGCCAGAGAAATCAGAGAAGAAGATGGACATTTTTCTCATACAGTCCCCATTACCTGCTTCCCCTAGAGGAAGGGAGAGGTTTTCTCTCGAGTTCAGAGCTGGTCTTGGGGGGCAGGGCCAGGAGAGAGAAAGAGGAAAGTGGAATTCCTTACACTCTGGTCTAAGGCTTCTCTTCCTGGTTCTCTGGCTTGAAATACAGTCAGCTCTCCCTGTCCGCTGGCTACACATCCACACTGACACAGATCCCTCGGGTA